ATAAACTTGAACTTTCCAGGTCCTCGAAGCCCAAGGCGAGGTCTGAACTACTGGAACGTTTCAAAGAACTCCCAAAACACATTTATTTTCCCTCCACTTTTTCTTCATTGCTTACGCCTCTTTCCCTGACCTTTCTCTTCTGTGCCGCTAAGCTCTCTCTCAGCCATATTTTTCTCTCAATTGTAGTTAAGCTGTCTTTGCCCTTGTCTCTTTTTTTTTTTTTTCCCTCTCCCCCCCCAGTATCGTGTCGATGTCTTGCTCACAGGTGCCTGAGAGGTGGCCTAGCTGTATGTGGACGCTTTTTTTTTTTGTTTTGTTGAGTCTCTGGTGAATATAAGCCTCTGGCCTTGGATCGGGATGCGTGTCTGATAAGACGCACAATTCTTTGCTGCAACTGCCTTTCCTCTCTGAGCCAAGATACAAGTGAAATTCTATCTTGCAGTCAACAAGTTAAGTTAGAAGTGATGCATGTTATGCTTCAAAATGATTCTCCGTGCAAGACTGGGAAAAAAAAAATCCCTCTCGATCTCGTTTTCCCCTCACAAATTAGCTACTCTGTCACATTAATAGAATCAACCGTTTTGTTGCCGCTCTGTGACAGCGAAACTAAAGCATATTTTTTATTTTTTTTTTCCCTCACATAAACACAAATTGCTCTCTGAGTGTTAATTAAGTTTTCCTATCATGTTTCAGGCCCTCCAGACATGTCAACTGGTGAACCGATACTCATTCAACATGAACGCCGGCCCCTCTCATCGTGACCTCTTAATTTGCCGCACAAGAGCCTTTATAATTGCTGCATATGCATCAGGTGCTCGTGCGCTAATTCGGCGGAAAAGATCATTCAGTTCAACCGTTTAAATTGACGCTCGCAACCCTCGGTGCACAAAAAAATGGGACAAACTAATGTGTCTGGAATGATTCTGAGGGTATACTTTGAACACGTCTAATTACGTGTTATCGGGAGTTGAAATGCATTTTTCTTCCTCACAGTGTCGTGATAGTTTTGTGCTTCTTTCTTCCACGATACCACAGGTGTCAAAGTCAAGGCCCGGGGGCCAGATCTGGCCCGCCACATGCTTTTTATGTGGCCCGCGTATGCAATTCAACCATGTCAACTTCCACAGTGCTTGCTAAAGTCTTAACCAAACTTGAAAATGTTCATATATAATGTAATAATTACAATGTCCATTATTCTTGACTTCTGATGTCAAAACGACTTTTCCATCTATTTGTTGCTCGCTGTGTATGTAATATGTGGAGGCGGTTCAACATGAATATGGTTTCACAAAATTCATAACGACAAAAATGAGTTTGACACCCCTGCTCTATACAGTGGACCTACGCAAATTTGTGCTTTGTTGCCCGCAGATTAACATATTTGCGGATTTTACACACACACACACACACACACACACACACACACACACACAGCACTGCACCCGGAGAAAACCCACTCAGGCACAGGGAGAACATGCAAACTCCACACAGGAAAGCCGGAGCTCAGAATCGAACCCCGGCCCCCTGCGCTGTGAGGCGGGCGCGCTAACCAATTCAACCAGTTGGCCACCCATGCCACCAAATCTCAGAGCGAGAGAGAGAGATTAAAAAAAAAAAAAATTCTTCGGATTAGTGATTGTGCACATACACTTCATTCTACTACTACAGCGAGAAAACCCCCCCAAAAAAAACCAACAAAAAAGCATGTTCTCTCAGGTCACACCACATTAGTCAACCCCCCCAGCAGCTTTGTGACAAAAGAGGAAAATCTGGTCTGCCTTGGCATAAGGCTGTCGAATTCCATATGTGAACTGGGTCATCACGTATTGCCAAAACATGCAACACCTCAGCGTTAAGTTCCAAAATATTGCAATGTTTCTTCTTGCCTCTTATTTAATCCCAACAAATAGCGTTGGGTTTGTAAAGCTTCGGCAGTCCTTGTTATTAAATGATGCTGTGGAGAAAGTAAATTGCCAATTACTCCAGTTGAGATTTTAATGGCGGGACTTTGCCGGAGTTCATTATAAGTAAAGAGCCGTACGGGGGAGAAGGAGGGCCGCTGGCCTCGACGAGTTTGTCTGCAGCGCGAGATAATGTCGCCATTACGCGTTTGGTCCGTGACTTACGCATTATTGTAAAATGTGCATTAGCCCGAGTCAGCAGTTAAACGTGCCGCAGTCTCCGTCCGTTTCGAGTTGATGTGAAGAGAAGTCGGAGAGAGCTCGAATGTCCGAAGGACGTGAGAGAGAGAGAGAGAGAGAGAGAGCTGTGAATGGCTTGTTTGTTGATGATGGGATCGATTGGAATGAGCGCATATTGTTTTTGCTTTGTTATTGTTTGAAGTAGATACCGACACCAAGTACCAATACTTCATAATGTTGTTGTGTCTTGCAGTTGGGATGAAATTGTGATGTGATGTGATGGACATGTCGCAATTGTGAAGCACAACTCTGTCAGATGGACATAGAGAGGACCCCCGAATAGGAGGAGGGTATAAATCAGCAATTTGAACGATGGCTTTACGGGTCCCTCAGAGCCCGCAACTCGCTTGTTAAATGAGCGGCGAGAAAAATAAAAGCGGCCTCGGCTGGCTGCCTCCTCTTTTTCTGCCACATTGCACTTTTTGCGGCGTAAATCATCACCTCTTCAGCTTTAAGTCGCTTTGTGGCGTTGATGCACTATTCTTTTGCAACATGTTGACGAGGGGAATTGCTCACTGTCAAGAGATCCACGTAAGAATGAATTGTTACCTTGTCGCAGCATCTGAAAGGATGAATCGAAGAACTGAAATAATTTGATTACAAAAAAAAGAAGGTTGCCACAAAATCACGGCCTCAGAGCTCGCAGGGGTCAATGGCCCACCTCTGCGTGTAGAAATAAGTTGGCGTGATGGTGGCACGCAAGGAGGAAATAGTCTGAAAAAGTGAGAAGGTCCAACGTTTGTGGATTATATCATATCTCAAAAGAAGTGCGGTTTGTGTACTGCCTTACAACAGCACATATACAACCAGACACAAGGTATTGCACTTTTTGCGGCGTAAATCATCACCTCTTCAGCTTTAAGTCGCTTTGTGGCGTTGATGCACTATTCTTTTGCAACATGTTGACGAGGGGAATTGCTCACTGTCAACACGTTGCCGAGAGATCCACGTAAGAATGAATTGTTACCTTGTCGCAGCATCTGAAAGGATGAATCGAAGAACTGAAATAATTTGATTACAAAAAAAAGAAGGTTGCCACAAAATCACGGCCTCAGAGCTCGCAGGGGTCAATGGCCCACCTCTGCGTGTAGAAATAAGTTGGCGTGATGGTGGCACGCAAGGAGGAAATAGTCTGAAAAAGTGAGAAGGTCCAACGTTTGTGGATTATATCATATCTCAAAAGAAGTGCGGTTTGTGTACTGCCTTACAACAGCACATATACAACCAGACACAAGGTAACCTGAACATTGTTAGCTAACATGATATATGCTACCAACGCTAATTTGAAAGTGTTGTAATGCCTCCCACAACTTGTCGAGGCTAAACACAGCACTTTTAATCACTTTATCAAAAGAAACCCACAGACAAACTGGACCACAAAATCACGGCCTCAGAGCTCGCAGGGGTCAATGGCCCACCTCTGCGTGTAGAAATAAGTTGGCGTGATGGTGGCACGCAAGGAGGAAATAGTCTGTAAAAGCGAGAATGTCCAACGTTTGGGATTATTTAATATCTCAAAAGAAGTGCGGTTTGTGTACTGCCTTACAACAGCACGTATACAACCTGACACAAGGTAACCTGAACATTGTTAGCTAACATGATATACTGTATCCTACCAATGCTAATTCGAAAGTATTGGAATGCCTCCCACAACTTGTCGAGGATAAGCACAGCACTTTTAAACACTTTATTTATCAAAAGAAACCCACAGACAAACTGGCCCACAACTGAGGCCCTCGTCACTCAACACGCCCAACACGGCTAACCACGTAGCACCC